TAGGAATTAATAAATGAATTCAGCAATGTTGTAGGATACAAAATCAGCAAAGAAATAGTTGCATTTCTAAAGAGTAACAATGTGCAATCCTAAAAGTAATCAAGAAAACAATCTCATTTACAATAGCATGAAAGAGAAAACATAGGAATATGTTTAACCAAGGAGGCAGAAGAATTGTACACTGAAAACTATCAATTATTGGTGAAAGAAATTAAAGAAATACAAATAAATGGAAAGAAATGATGATAGATTAGAAGACTTTATATTATTAAAATGTCCATTCTACCCAAAGCAAACTGTAGATTCAATGCAATCTCTATCAAAACCCCAATGCATTTTTGCAGAAAAAGGGGAAAATAGCTTACATTTTATATGGAATCACAGAGGACGCCAATGACTAAAGCAATCTTGAAAAGAAAAAATAAAGCTGGTGGCCTTTTGAACTTTTAAACATATTACAAAGCTACTGTGATCAAAACAATATGACACTGGCATAAACACAGGCATAAAGAGCAATGTAGTAGAATGAAGAGCCCAGAAATCCTCACAATTTTGAACTTTTCAACATATTATAAAGCTACTGTGATCAAAACAATATGACACTGGCATAAACACAGGCATAAGGAGGAATGTAGTAGAATGAGGAGCCAGAAATAAGCCCATGCATATATGGTCAGCTGAACTTTGACAAGGGTTCCAAGACTACATAATGGGGAAATGATAGTCTTTTTAATAGATGGTGTTTTTGGAAAACTGTTTATCCACATACAAAAGAGAAAAATTGGAGCCTCAACTTACTCCAAACCAAAAAAATCAATGATCTGCACATGTACCCCAGAACCTAAAGTACAATGAAAAAAAAAAAATCCAAAGCAAAAAAATTATCTTGTTCATCACACACACATACACACACACACAAAATAGATTAGAGACGTAAATGTATGAACTGAAACTGAAAAAAAAAAAACCTATAAAATGCCTACAGGAATACAAGAAGAAAGCTTCATACGATTAAGCCTTGGCAACAATTTTCTGTATATGACAATATCAGCAGAGACAACAAAAGTGAAAATAAATAAATAAATAAATAAGTCTACACTAAATTAAAAGCTTCTGTCCAACAAAATTCCCTGTCAAAGGGCAGTGGGAAACCTATGGAATGGGAGCAAATACGTATAAGCATGTAGGAATCTTATAAGGTCTTAATTAAAAAATATATAATTAACTCCTAAAAATCTTCATTTCTCCAAGGAAGACATATACATGGTCAATAACTGCATGAACAGGTGCTCAACTTTATTACTCACAGCTAAATGTGCTCCTAACCCATATAAAAAGATTCATTTTTCAAGTTTTTTAAAATTTAATAAGCATCAAGTCATCTTATAATCTGAATTACTTAATATTTAGTTTCAATGGCTGCAAATATATAATAATAAAATAAAAATAGAAAAGGAGGGAAGTACAAATCAAAACCACAATGGGATGTCACCTTATACCTGTTGGGATGGCCACTGTATATATGCATGTTTTTTTAAATACATGTATAGTTATATTTTTTAAAGATAATACCAAGTGTTGCTCAGGATGTCGAGAAACTGGAATCCTTGTTCACTGTTAACAGGAATGTGGAATAGTGTAGCCACTATGGAAAACAGTATGAGGTTTTTCAAAAAATTAAAAATAGAACTACTATATAATCCAGCAATCCTGCTTCTGGGTGTTTATCCAAAAGAACTGAATTAAGATCTTGAAGAGCTATCTGAACTCCCAGGTTTATTTCAACATTGTTCACAGTAGCCATGATGTAGAAAGAATCTAAATGTCCACCAGTGGGCGAATGGAAAAAGAAAACATGGTATATATAAACAATGATACATTATTCAACCTTGACAAAGAGGAAAACCCTGTCATACTACAGCATGAATGAATATTAAGGACATTATGCTAAATGAAATAAGCCAATCACAGTAAGACAAATACTAAAGATTCTACTTTACGAAGGCAAAAAGTAGAATGCAAGTTACTATGAGATTGAGGATAGAAAAGGAAGTTGTTGTATAATAGGTAGAGAATTTTAGCCATGCCAGAAGAAAAAGGTCTACAGATTCTCCCATACAACGCACATATAGTTAACATTACTGTACTTTACAATTAAACCCTTTTAGTAGGGTAGATTTCATTTTCTATATTTTTACCACAATTTTGAAAAGGTTGAAAAAGAAGAAACAATATACAAATGCTCTAGTAAACATAAATTATTTAGGAATAGACTTTTATATAAACCTCTAATGTGAAATTCAGTGTTGGATCCAAAGTATCTAACAACACTTACTCACTTTGCAATTTTAAATCGAATGAGAATTCACATGGGTTAGATTTTTAAACATTTAATGAACTCACAGGATTACCAACAATAGTGCTAATATTTCAGAGAAGTTTTGGAAAGTACATATCATGCTTGAATATTTTCAATTTAAATGTAAAACATGTTTGTACACAATACCTGATGAGCTTTCCCACATTAAACACACACACTTACCTTCTGACAAAACTGTAAAATCTTGTAAAAAAAACCTTAATAAGTAAAAGCAACATGAATTTAAAATATTACAAATATACATATATAACAGAAATTCTCTGCAAGTAGCAAAATTTCCCACACAATATCTAAACAGCAAACAGGTCTTTTAAAATAAAATGTTAACGTTTTGAGGTATCTTTTTTTTTTTTAGTTTTTATAGCTGTTATCTCTTGATCTTTTGTATGTACTGTTGCCTGACAATTTAATGTGATACTTAGAATAAAAGAATTTGGTATTGATATACGGCAATACTAGGCAGAAAAGGGAGGGGTCCCTGGAGAAGCCCCACCCCCAAGCCTGGACCTGAAGCCCAAAGTGAGAACATGCATTCTTGTTTTTCCACTCAAATGTTGCTTTTTGGCACCCCCCCATCCTATAACTATAAAAACCCCAGCCTCCACTGGCAGACAAGCAGCATAAAAAGAAAGAAGAAACAGCCTGAGGTCAGCAAGACGCATCTTGACTTCAGAGGAGCAACTTGACAGTGGGATCTTGGAGAAGATTTTGGCCAGGGACAGCCAAACTCCGAGGGAAGACCACCTTCCCACTCCATCTCCTTTCCAGCTTTCCATTCCACTGAGAACCACTTTCATCAGCAGTGAAATCCCTCACATTACCATCTTTGATTTGTTCACGTGACCTGATTCTTCCTGATCTCAAATAAGAGTTCAGGATACAGAGGGTTGTTAAAACACTTAGGCCATTTGTGGATGACAAAGCTAACAGGCACTGTAATGTATGCCCTCTGGGGCACCAGGGATTGCAGGGACCCCCAAGATGCTGCCATGGGGCCACATGTTGTTCTACTCCTGTCAGCACCCAGAAGCACTTGTCCTGGCCCCTACAACCAGTCATCTGCATGCTCTCCCTCCTGTGAGGGGTTGACAGCTTGGACTTTGTAAATGAGCCAAGCCATTCATGAATCCTGTGAATGGGTCAAGGGAACTATCATGTTTCATCTGGGGGGTTGCCCGGGATATTTCATAAGGGTAAGCACAATGTGGATTTGTCTCTCTTTGTACTCAGACTTTCCTCTGAGCTATGCCATTTGCAAGGGATAGGATGAAATCCTACAATCTCTCTCTCTTTTTTGGGGTAAAAGGAATGTTGGCTCTGTTTTCCTTCATGGTGGTCTAGTTGTCATGGGACTAGAATAAAGTCCTGGAGAAACTGAAGGCCTCTTGCCAGGGCCACTCCTCAGGGTGGCCGGAAAGCCACCAGGCTGAACCTGCTCCCCAAGCACCTGTCAGGGCATCAGCCAAGATCCCCAGACTTTTTCTATGATATCTTTTCTTCCTTCTTTCGTGGTTTGAAATGGCTCCTAGCTCTTCTTTTATAATGTTAAGGGTTCTACTACAAACTGCAGCAATGACACTAGGCAGAATGTATGTTAGGCCTGGCCATCAGATATGCAACTCAGAATAATACTATTTCCATATGTTCTTAGAGGGGTGACCCCAAACCCCAATGGCCACAGGTGTATGAATGGGATGGGCAGCTAAATGGTGGTTTTCCTTCTCATCCCCTCCTTTTCAGGCTTGGGCACATGGGCATGTCCATAGCATGCATGTGCTCTGTCCAACAGCCAAGTAGAATGGGAGTTAGCTGTGCACACTGCCCAGGCCCCAGCACAGTCTTCTGCACCAGGGACCCATGCAGCTGGCTGGCCAGTGCTACCTACTTGCTCTTCCTTCCGGTCATCAGCCCACAGTCTTTCCTCCCCTGGTCAAGGAGTTTAGCCCGGCTGGAACTATGGGAGGGATAGACTGATTAAAGGAACCTCTTTGTAGAGAGCCAGAGGCTCTTTCCCTGGACCACCCCCTTTTGCCCTTTAAGCTGTTTTTATTCATTTTTCCTTTTCTAAGTGAAAGGTTTCTTTTCCTACCTCTGCACTCTGCTTATGCTAGAGAGACAACAGAGGAGTGAGCCCTGCTGGCTGGTAACTGCAAATCTGGCAGGCCCCATCTGGGACTTAATCTAAAAGGACCCTAAAATACCTTTTTTGTCCCAATCTTGATTCCAAGCTTCAGGCTGAGGCCCTAGGAAGGAAAGCCAGATCTGAGGGATCCAAGCAGGAAAACAGGCACAGTGTAAATGGGCAGGACCAATTCCTGCCCACTGAGCCTCCATGTCATGGAAGGAATCCATGGTCCATGGCACAGATAAGGCCAGGAAACGCTGCTGACAGTAGGGGATGGAGGCGCACATGAATGTGAATAATTCCTATTCTCTTGGACCTCCCTGCTTCATGGGTGCAGGCTGCAATGGCACCTGTGGTTGGCATCTAAGGTCACCATGACTTAGGGATAAGGAGGCAGAAAAGAAAGGGAGGATGCCTGCTTTCCCTCCCTCACACCCCGAGTTTTTGCTGACAGAATGAAGGGAAATGAGAGTTATCTATTTCCTTGTCTTTCAGAATGGGCAACCAACTGTCTCCACCATAACCACTTTATACTCTTCTGGAGTGCATCTTGAATCACCGGTACTGCTTTGACCCTCATAATCTGGAGGGAAAATGCCTATTAGCCCTTTGCACAAAGGTTTGGCCAAATTATGAAGGACTGGCTTGGTCTTAGGAAGGAACCATTCATTTCGTTATCATCTAGCAGTTGGACCTTTTCTGTAAATACAAGGATAAATTGTCAGAGACGCCATATGCACAAACTTCCTTTACCTTGAGGGGCAATCCAGACCTGTGCTGACAGTGTAGCAATCCCCCCTGCTGACCATCTCAGGAGAGGCTGCCAGGGGCAATCTCAAGGAACTAAAGAAACAAATTCCAGAGGCACCTTCAGCAGGGAGTCAGCTCCCTCTAGTCCTGCTCCTCTGGGTTTTCCCCATCTTCTATCCCACTTTCCCCCTCCCAGAAATATCCCAGACGAGCCCCAGTCTCACTCTTGCCCCTCCAACAGATGCCTGGTGAATTTGGCCCCAGTAAGGCCCAGGTCCCCTTCTATCTACAGTGCTTAAGGGAGAGTAAGGGAGATCTTGACAAGTTTTCAGATATATATATAGATATACATCAGATGGATATATAGAGGCTTTCCAGAATTTAACCCAAGTATTTGAACTCTGCTAGAAAGACATTATGTTACTTATAAATCAAACCCTGACTAACACTGAGAAGCAGACTGCTCTGCAAGTGGCAGAGAGATATGCTTATGAGCTTTGTGTCACATATAGCATCAGGGAAGGTGCCAAACATCATCCATATGGAAGAGAAGCAGTACCAATGGATGACCCTAGAATGGATCCCAGTGATGAGATGGGAGAATGGAGGAGGAGGCACTTTCAGGTGTGCACAATGGAGGGTTTACGTAGGACTTGGCTCTTAATTATACCAAGCTATTCATGAGAGATCAGGGATTTCATGGGAATCCCACTGCCTTTCTGGAAAGGATAAGAGAGGCCTTTGTAAAGTTCACATCTATATCTTCTGATTCTGGCAAAGGATAACTAATCCTAAAGGATAAAATTATTACTCAGGCACCCCCTGATATAAGGAGGAAGCTGCAGAAACAGGCCCAGGGACCAGAGAGTACTTTAGAGGACCCCCTGAAAGTGACCAACTTGGTTTTTATAATAGAGATAGGGAGACACAAGAAAGAGGTAGAAGCTTTAATGGCCACCATGCAATCCCATAAACCCCAGAATTCCCAGTGCACCTGTTGACTGCTACAGATGTGGCAAGAATAGTTATCTCTCTTATGAAGTTTAACTGCTCCCATACAAGGTTTAATTTCTTTCATTAAAGTGACACAGCTTGGGGTACAGTGTGGTTAGCATGCTTCATTTCTTATTTCTGTAATCTTTGGCACTAGATTCTTTCCCGGTATAATACATGTTTGACCTATGCATACTTAACCTTGTAAAATTTGCTTGTTTTCCTCTTTCACCTAGAGGCCATCAAACTCCAAAAAGTCAGGCAACTGCAGCCTTGGACAATTGATCCCTTTTGCCAGGGACCCGTAGGTAGACCTCAGGGAGAAATCTGACAGCAGTTTTCCCAAAAACGATGGCTCCGTCAGCAGGAAGTAGCTAAGTCTGACCATCTTCCATATTCTGGTGGCACTTAGATGTGCCTCCTCAGAGCGGGGAAGTGATAGGAGTGAAGAACAGGAGGCAGGAAAATACCAGGCTGAAAAGTGTAGAGTCCCTGGTGAAGCCCCACCCTCAAGCCTGGACCCGCAGCCCAAAGTGAGAACATGCATTCCAGTTTTCCTGCTTGAATGTTGCTTTTTAACCTGTCCCACCCCTCATCCTATATCCATAAAAACCCGCAGCTGAGCAGTGGAGTGGCAGAGCGGCAGAGAAGGAAAACAGAGAAGCAGCAGCCTAACATCGTCAAGATACAGATTGACTTCAGAGGGGTGGCTTGAAGGTGGGGACCTCAGAACAATTTGGCCAGGGATGGCTGAACTCCAGAAGAAGACCACCTTCTCACTCCAACCCCTTCCTAGCTCTCCATTCTGCTTAGATCTACTTTCATCAGCAATAAAATCTCCCGCATTTACCATCTTCGATTTGTTCATGTGACCTGATTCTTCCTGGAGGCTGAACAAGAGCTTGGGAAGAGGAGGGCTGTCACACCGAACTGTTAAACACTTAAAAGTCATCTGCAGATAGTGTGACATGGTAAAAGCCCCATAAAACTGCATACCTCAACCACACCTCGACTTTCTGTTCAAACTGCTCTCTGTAACCCTGACGTGACAGGCAAGCAGTCCAAACCCACGACATTTTGGCCCCTGCGGCTTGTAATAAGTAACAGGTCTATAATTTCCATCCATACCCAGACAATGTGTAAACTAACACTTATCTTGACTTCTGTGAACCACCTAAGAATTGGAATGTCCGAAGCCCCTCACCCTCACCCCGCCCAGGAGGTAGTTTACAGAATGTCCGAAGCCCCTCACCTTCACACCTGCCCAGGAGGTAGTTTATAGAATGTCTGAAGTCCACTGGCCCTCAGAATGTCCAAAGCCCCTCGCCCCTACCCCCATCCAGGAGGTGGTTTACAGGTATAATAGGTCTTGCCACCCTCCTTTCGGGGCCACGGATTGGAAAGACGCGAGTCCTCCGTGGCCACCGGCAATAAAGACCCTGCAATTTGGCATACTTTTGTCTTGGTGTTGACTTTCTGTGCTCGCTCCAGTACAACAATAGCAAAGCCGAAAGAGCACTGTAACAGGTGCCTTCTGGGGTTCCAGGGATTTTGAGTGAGGGAATGTGTTCTCTTTCTGGGTCCACGAGGGGGCATAGTTTTAAGGGCAGGAATTTCCCAGCACCATGCCCCCCTTCCCATCTCTCTCCATCCGGGAGATTTAATGGTTTGTTTGAATTTCATGGGCACGGGAAGAAACTAAGAGTCGATCGCTCCAGCGGAAGTTCTAAGGAGCTCCTTTCACTGGCCCAGGGACTTGGAGAAGCTGGGGTTCCTCCCAGGTTAGAAGCCCCCTCCTTCCACACCCCCTCGGACTCCATGTTTGGGTCCCTTCCAGGAACACTCCCTTCGAGGAACCATGTTTCTCTCTCCGGGATTCCCTCTGGAGCCCCCTTCCACGCCCTCATGGGAGCCTGTCTTCCCCTAAACTCCGTCTCTCTCTTCCCTTCCACTCGGCGTGGAAGCGGCTTTCCTCTCCTGGAGTCCGTCTTTCTGGATTCTCACTCAGTGTGGGCGTCAGCTGTTTCCTTCTCTCTAAATAAATCACTTTCTACAAACACTTTTGACTCCAGCATTTACTGCGCTCTCTTGAGAGGGCAGGAGACCAAGACCCTGGAGAAACGTCCTCTAGGGGAGCTGAGGGCACCCTGAACCCCAATATTACATTCTGGCACGACAGCCGGGGGCGGGGTACACCAGAAAAAGGGGTACAGCCAGGAAAGGAGTACAGCCAAGGAAGATTTCAAAATCGTGAGTAAAACGGGCCCCATTCTGTCCTGTGTGGGGACCTGGACGGGGGCACCTGGGACGCGGGACCCGGCCTGTGTTAAGGCTGAATTAAAGGCGCTGCTTTTCGTTTCGTTTTGTTTTTCTGTTTTTACCTCCACGCTCTCTCTGCTTTCCGGCTCCTTCTCTAGCCTTCGGATGTTATGTCTGGGACCGCAACCTGCGGCCGCCTGCGGGGCGGAGAGGGCGAGCACTGCCCCCAGGGCCGGTGGCTTCCAGCCCGCGGGGAACAGCCCAGTCCCGAGAACCGGAAGTGGGACCTCCTGCAGCATCTGCGCAGGCGCGGCCGGCCGGGCGGGAGAAAACGGCGAGGAGGGGCGGGGCGGGGGGTGGAGGGGCGGGGCGGGGCGGGGCAGGGAGGAGCGGGGCGGGGGCGGGGCGGGGTGCGGCCTGAGCCTGCAGGGCCGGGAGGTGCGGCGCCGAGCTCGTGGTTGTACCCGGCCTGTCCCGTGCTGCCCAGTCCCAGGCGGCAGTGTAAGAAACGCTCCCCAGGGCGTGTGCCTGCTGGCCGCGGGTCCCAGTGTGGGCAGCGTCCTGGGGAGTGGCCCAACCACGCCTGTGGTTTTGGTGGCGTCAACATGGTGACCAAAAGCTCGGGGGTGGGGGAGCTCACAGGCGGCCCAGCAGCAGCTGCCAACGCAGCTTTCGTTTATTTATGTATTTATTTTGAGATGGAGCTTTGCTCTTGTTCCCCAGGCTGGAGTGCAATGGCGCCATCTCGGCTCACCGCAACCTCCGCCTCCTGGGTTCAGGCAATTCTCCTGCCTCAGCCTCCTGAGTAGCTGGGATTACAGGCACGCGCCACCATGCCCAACTAATTTTTTGTATTTTTAGTAGAGACGGGGCTTCACCGTGTTGACCAGGATGGTCTCGATCTCCTGACCTCGTGATCCACCCGCCTCGGCCTCCCAGAGTGCTGGGATTACAGGCTTCAGCCACCGTGCTCGGCCCAACACACCTTTTAAACTGATGCAGTATTGTGGATTCTCTCACTCAGTGTGAGAGTTCGCTGTTTCTCTCTCTCTCTCTCTCTCTCTCTCTCTCTCTTTCATACATCACTTTCTACAAACACGTTTAAGTCTGGCGTTTACTGCGCACTCCGCCGTGGTCCCCTCTGTCATTCTTGAGAGAACAGGAGACAAAAAACCTGGAGAAACGTCCTCTCAGGGAAGCTGAGGGCACCCTGAACCCCTATATTGTATGAGTAACCCCCAGACACTTCCATGGGGCTACACAGAGTTATACTCCTGCTGACACTCCCAGAAGCAATTGTCCTGGCCCCTGCAGCCACTCACCTGCATGTCCCCCACTCCCATGAGGGGTTGAGAGCCATGGGCTGACCAAATGAGCCAACCCCTTCATGAGTCCTGCAAGAGGGTCCTGGGAACTATCCTACTTCAGCGTCAACTCTAGTAACCATTTAAGGATGAAGTATACCGAAGTATACTCACTTGTTGTAAACAGAAGGGACTTTAGAAAGACTACATCTGAAGTTCTCGTAGATTCATTCTGGAACTGTAATTTCTGTATCTGCAAAATGCGTGTGATAGAACTCTTGTGTCACTGCTGTGAGGATTAAACAAAATAGTTGGTCCTCTGTATCCCTGGGTTATGCATCCGCAGACTCAACTAACCACAGATCTAAATATATTTGAAAACACAATGAAAAAACAACAAAGGGACATATCGTGAGAAATGCAGCATTAGGTGATTTTGTTGTTAGGCGATTGTCCTACAGTGTACTTACACAAACATAGATGGCAGAGGCTACGACACATTTAGGCTATAGGGGCTAGCCTATTGCTCAGAGGCTGCAAACCTGTACACCGTGTTACTGTAGTGGGTGGTAACGTGATACCGCCTCACAACGCATTTCTTCGAACATATTTCCCCCAGTCATTAAGCTCTGCATGACTGTATTTACACAGTTTACATTGCACTGTTGTAAGGGATCTGTAGATGATTTAAGGATGATGTGCATATGCTATATACAAATACCATGCTGTTTTATGTAAGGAGCTTCAGCATCTGTGACGTTTGTTATCTCCGGGGGTCCTGGAACCAATCCCTTGCAGATAACAAGGGACAACTGTAATGCAGTTTAAGTATTTTTCCCAGTGCAAAACTCATAGACTGTGCTCAGTGAACAGTAAGTACTATGACAAGGACAAATCAGAGGACCTAGAACTTGTTCGTTGTTCTGCCAGAATGCTATTGATTTTTCTTCCTCTTACTATCCTTGATTTTCATAAGTTGGACAAAACAAAATAAAATGGCATAGAAGAAATGGTGACATGCTTGCCACATTAATTTTTAGTCTTTTATTTCTAATTTATACATGTGAGGCTATATTTTTCCCTTTAGGAATAACTTTGGCCATATTCCATATGTGTTATTAGATCTTTTTATTACCTTGATAGTATTCTCTAAATTCTTTGATTAATAAACCTAAAAGTACATATTTAAATTTATGAATATATATTTTTTGTTACTCTTTTCTAAATTGCACACAGAGTGGATGAGATCTTTATTACATAGGTTATTTCAAATTTGTTTATTTTAAGTTTTGGTCACTTAAAATATATATTCTATATGTGCTTAAGAAGAATTTGTATTTCCAAGGTACAATATATATTTATTGGATCAAGCTTCTAAATTATATTTATTATATTCATTCCTATATTCTTCCTAATTTCTTATTAATCTATTATTTCTTGAGAGAGGAATATTGGTATCCCCACCATTATATTAGCCCCATCAAACTCTCTCTGGATTTCTGTCAATGTTATTACTTTGTTACCTCTTTCCGGGGAATGGAATATTTCAATACCATTTCAGGACTTTAAATTTAATGACACTCCTGATTCAGAGTCCATTATGCTGGTCTACATACCAACATTTGTTCGGTATATGCGTTAGTATTTATACTGAGAGATTGTGCCTATTTCCCACACATTCCTTAATGTGCTAATACGATGAGCCAAGTTTATAAATTAGACTTTAGTGACATGAATGGAAGACACATACTACACACATGTACCTTTTAATGGCAAAGGTTATGGGACAAGGAACCTCTATATGCCATTCAAATCTTCCCCACAGAAAGGCTGTCCTCTTGATGAGAGAGAATTTCAGCTTGCCCCTATGCACACAGTCTCCCATAATTGAAAATACTCTCAAATCATTTTTGCATAGATATGCTTTATTACATAATATAGATTACTATGCAAATTATGGATTTTTGCATAATTATTTTTGCATTCTACTTATCAAACCATGATAGTACGTTTTATGAGTGACTTAAGGGATTTTTAAAAATAATATTTACTTTTTAATAAAACCTTCTCATGTGATAATATGATTCTTCCGTACTCTTATTAATTATTACTGACAATAATTTTAACAATTGTCTAGTCAATCTGACACCGCCACTAATTGCTACTAATTGCTCTGGACTCACTTTCACTGATGCTGGCCCTCTTGACTTCAGGCACTTAGCTTTGTGTGTCTGATGTAATATTTCTTGGCTTCCTTGGAATATCTCCTGGTCTACCCCCCTTTAAGGTCATCACTTCTTCGCACTTTTCAGCTCAGCATTTATTTTTGCCCTCAGTAGTAATCACGACATCGACTATTCCTGCTCTGGAGACACATGTAACAGTTTCACAAACCAAGTATGACTCATTTCTCTATTGAAGGGATTTTATTCAAACACTCTTAACAAATCTTTATCGATCCTCTATTGTATGCCAGGAAATGTTTTGGGTACTAGGGGTTTTTAAAACATATAGTCCTACAAACAAATGTGCATGGTCACGTGGACATTGTAAAAGGTGATTTGAGGAGGATTGATAATATGCTATTATTAAGATAATGAGCATAATAAAATATCTACATAAAATGATAAATTTATCTCATCTTTGAATGAGATAAAGGCACTTTCAATCTGTAGAGAGGAAAAAGTTAAATAATGAAATTTCTATCCTATATATAATGAGACATTTAGGATAAATATGAATGAGTTCTTAATCAGTGTAATGAATAAGGAAATAATTGGTTTAGTCAAATGATTCTAAGTAAGATAGATTCTCATTTGTCTATGTTAGCTTGAGTGGGGTGTTCCCTGACGGCATCACTTTCAAATCCTGAGATTTCACGATGAAAGCTTCACTATTT